CAATCTTTCTTAGTCCCTACCTCAGCCACTTTCTGCCATACCCTAAACCTTGCTGTGCCAGCACATGCACTACTTCTAAAGCACATGTATGTCAAGTCAGCCCATTCTCGACCACACCACCATTTCTTTCACCCCATCAGGTCCTCTAATCCATTGATCCTACCATATTTCACTGTCCAGCATCCTCTTCGTGACCTCAGTCCTAGCTTAGACACCATGGTCCATGATTATGCCCTGCCTTGCCTACAATTTCAACCGTCTTTCTCCCTTTCTCCATCCATCCATTCTAACCTGGCTGTCCTGGGTAAACCCAATTCTCATAGTCAGGCAGTGACCACTGGGAGAGAAAAAGGCACTACCCTGCTAACTGCTCTCACTTTAAATAAACGAACACAAGTTTTAAGTGGACCCTCAGCACTTACCAGCAATCCTACTGCATTTCACTAGGCAACTCACTCTCTCCTACAAGAACCTTTTCTTCTCTAAGACTGAGTCAATCAGGAGCCATTTCCCTAGCCATCCTCAAACCTTTTAATCACTGCAGCTGCCTTCTCTGGCACCTCTTCTTATCTCAATTCGTGAAGGTACTCCCTCCTGCCTCCGCCCCAGGTTGAGTCTTGGCCAAGATAGATTATATCATCTCACCAAACACTGTTCTTTTTTGTACTTTATTGCCTGATCATATTTACCCACACTGTAACTCAAATGTAGTTGATTTCTTTTCTATAATTGAGCTAATATGTCTCAAAAATGGGGCTGTTTTTCTATAATTAATCTAATCTTCCTCATGAATATTAATCCTAGTAAACAACCAGAAACTTAAAATTTGCCAAATAATATGTCTTTGCCAGTTAACATCCAGATACTTAAGTTTAACTCTTTATTAGCACAGGATTAAATAGTTGCTTTTTTTCCTCCAAGTGGGGCATCCTATGGAAGCAAGAAGGATATTGGTGCCTCTGTGGAATCTCACTGGTCTCTGTTGCAAGGAGGTGATCAGGTCCCATAGCTAGACTGATGCCATCCCACCTTTTGGGATGTCATGCTGGTATCACTGATCCTGATCTTTAGTCTAGAGTCACATAGTCTTTTGTCATGATGCCTGCTGTTCCACCATGCCTCTAAGCTCCTCTACATCTGTCACCGGGGTATGACAGCATTTCAGAATCCCCTACTACAAGAAGCTCCTCCATCTAGCTACTTCCTTCTAGCTCTACTGTGCTACTGGCCCCAGTGTTGGCACAGCACTATCCTACATAGCTCTCTCTTCTCAAGATTCCAAATAAGGAACAGAGCCAAGGCCATCTACTTTGACTGTCCCATCAACCCATTTAACACACTCGCCCCACCCCAGAACTTCGGCCGGATGGGAGATCGGAACGTATATTTCTCAGTCTGTTTTCCCTATCTTTGTCCCCCTTCTTCCCACACTCTACCAGGACTAAAAAAGATGGACTTCCCACTTTGAATTCATCCTCCTTCCTCCTGGGAGGCACTCTGCCTCAGTCTTGGCCTTAATGATGGAAGAGCTATTCTCTTTATCCTACAGAAGAAACTAGCATTAGAGTTTGACACAGGAAGCTCTTGGTATGGATACTGTAAGCAATTTAGAAGTTTAGAAAACTGAAAATAAACATATATTGACTTAAAATTCCCCCAGATACGATCCCTACACAAATTCAACAGTTAGTATCTCCTGTATGCTAGGCTCCCTGCAAGGATATAAGAAGATCAAACGTAGGTCACTACCTGGGGAAGTAGGGAGACCTACAAAAATAAACACAATGGAATTTTATGTGGTACATTTACCAAAACAGATTAACATAAATAACCTGTCAATCCTTTCAGCTCCTTCAAACTAAAAATGTGTGCAACAGCAGAATAAGGGTAATATAAATTATTTCAGGTAATAATTTGTCATATAATCTTTCTCCAATTTACATATTTCATTTTCTTTTCCACGTACAACATGAAAAACAAGAAGCCAATCCTTAATGACAGGATAAAAGCAAGAAATGCCATGAAGCAGGTTCAAGTTTCCACTTAATAAAAATATGCAAGAACTAAAGCAGAAATCAAAATAGCCCAAGGCCAAAAAACATCAGGTAGAATCTTAATAAATAATTTGGAGACTAATGAAGTAATTATAACAAATATCTGTTCTTATAGATTATGTATTTGGTTCTCCTCTTCCCCCTACCCCGACCCCCTGACACTGTTAATTGTTACAAACTAATATTTTCGTTCCATTTCTTAATTCAAATGGAAGGCAGCAGAAGGCAAGGACAGCTAGAGGACAATTCTGTCAGACTTTCATATTACAAACTAAGAGCTTACTAGGTGCCAGGCCTTGGGGCTACAAAAATTGAAAGGTGTAATATCTCCTCTTGGAGACTTCACAATTGATGATGGATGAAGAAACAAATTTTACTTACAAAGTAATAAGGAACACAGAAACTGTATCCCATAATGACACACCTTCAATAGGGTTGAAAACTGCATAAAAAATGCATCAAAGTCTGATTTCTCTAACTCTATTTCCAGGCTGCGGAGTCTCCCAACTGGGCACTTCAGAAACACAACAACCACTGAAGTGGAAGCATTCAACAGAACACCTACTGGGGGGAGGAGGGAAGAGGAAAATAATAAAATATCAAAAAAAAAAATTATGTATATATAGTATGAAAAAAAAATAAAACTGGCATAAAAAAAGAACACCTACTAACACTGCACAAGTCAATTATAACCTAGCAATATAAAAGAAGTGCAAATATATTTTTTGTGTAAAGTGCTAATAAACGTGTTTGTTAGTCATTATGAAAAATTCGTTTGTTTGTAAGTTTGGCATTTACTTACATCCCTTTCCCTGTTTACGTTTTCTGATTTTCCCACTATGTGAACATTGGTGGGAATTCGAGACTGCCTCCATTCTTATAAGCCAAAAAAGCCAAATACTCACTTCAACTTCCTTCCTGCTAGGGTACAAGCAGTAACCTAAGCTCAACCAATCCAAGACACCTACTGAGGACTTTGAATTAGAAGTTAATAGTGTAAAAAAGCATGGTTAAGAAAGGAACTTTCCAGCAATAACTAGTTTCCCAAGCAGCAGGATCCAGTCACATGGTGCTGGTGGTATATGCTGCATAACCCAGTATTACCAGGCAGCATCAGAAATGACATACCCCCCAGGTCCCAACCTCAGCTACTTCTAAAGTACAACTCTGACTGTGGAATTTTCCTTGGTTCCTGCCCATTTTCAGAGTTGGGTTTCCTCCAGACTTCAAAAGAATGCTAAGAACTCTCCAATATTCTTCCATGAAGTTCCTTTTTTTTTTTTTTTTTGCTTAAATCACTTCAGTTCTTGCTAATAAAAATGAGTGGCAGACAGTAGTAATGAAATAATATGGTAAATCAAGAAGCATCCCACGCACAAAGGACTGGGTTTGTGTAGTCAATCTTGGAAAATGGACAATTCCATGTGTAATATGACTCAAGTCCAGCTCTGATAATTCAGTAATTTGTCATCATGTAGTTATTCCAAAACTTCTATTCCAACTACTACTAAATAACTTGGCAGTGTGATTTTATCTGCAAGATGACCCACGTCTTCTCCATTAATTAATATTACAGGACTTAAGAAACAGAAAGTTCTCTACTTTGGACTACATTCAAATTCTAGATATACCTCCCAAAGGATTTAACAGGATGAAGAGCCCACTTTTCTGTAATTTGTTTGAGAATCAAAGATCTCTGACTTTCAATACCAGGGACTTCGGCACAAAGTCAAGTCTTGAAAGAATGAATGGTTTTCAACTACACTGTTTACAGAAACTTCAGTGTTCTCTCAACAGATTTTTTGTTGTGCCTATGGTTGCTTACAATTATTGGTAACTTTACAATACAAAATTAAATAAATTCCTCAATTATAAATCCAATAAGGAGGTAGTAAGATTAATGCTCAAGCTACAGGTTTGAGCTTTGAATTTACCTCTTCGCCTCTACTCACCCAAATCCCAGACTAACAGGTCTGGAAGATTACTCATGGAAAAAAACCATCCCACCCATCTCAATGGGAGCTCATTTTCTTAGGAGATATCAGGAGCTCAATAACATGTGTTGCTTGAATACAATTCCTATGACTGTGCATATATATTACATATTTCCATAAATTGCTTTCCCATAGCACTTTACATTAGCCCAGTGCTTCCAGCCTTATAAAAACATTCCCATGAATTCTCACCTCTAGATGAGTGGTTAAGAAGAGTTAGACTTACCTGCACATCCATTAAATGCGAAGCACACCACGGAACCTCAGTAACTTACGCTCCCACCGCAGTGTTGCATGTCTGTTTCGGCACTTCTATACACTGTAATTAATTACCTCTCACGTATCGGCTCCTTCAGGATTCCTGTTCATCTTCGCATCCCCAGTCCAAACAGAACCTGGACCATAGACTGTGTCGTCTGAACACCAAGAGCCTTCCGCTCCCTGCAAGCCCAGTCCTTTCCTGGCTGAGCATTAGCTCCGAGACTGATTTATACCATTCTTGTCCCACCCACCGTCACTCTCGCCAACTGTGATTTCCACAGCCGCACCAGTGAAGCTTATCGCACAGGACACAGACTTCGTTCCCCAGCGAAATTACCCACGACCCAACTCTTCCCCTACGTCTTTCCCACCGGCACCCCACAATCCCCACCGCAGCCCAAGGCGGGTAGGTGTTAGCGGGTCCCGCTCCGCCCTACAGAGCTGCAGGGACTGAGCCTGGGACGCCCACAACCCCCGGCCCGGCAGCCCATGCGGTGGCCGCGCGGAGTCTGTCAGCAGCTACGAGCCCCCAGGAACTAACTGCACGTGAGGAGAAGTGCGGGGCTGGGCACCGCCGAGCTCCCGTGAAACCCCGTGACGGGCTGCCCCCCCAGACACACACACACACGCCCCCAGCAGCCCGAACCCCAAAGTGCTGGGACTCAGGTAGGCGAAGGCGCTCCGTACGTACCCGAGGAGGCAGCGGTCGCAGACGACGCCACGACTCCCCTTGCACACCGTGTACGCCAAGGGATCGGAGCGGAATAGCAGCTCTCCAGGGCGCAGCGGCGCCAAGGCGCGCAGCCCGTTTCCCCTGTCGGTGGTGCTGAACTTTTCCACCTTCGGCGGCTCCATCCTTTCGCAAGCTCCGCACGTCAAATATCAGCGGCGACCCGCAGCTGGCTTCTCGCGGGCAGCCGGGAGCCGCGCGCTTGCGCTCTGCGCGCACACGCACGCCGAGGGGCGGGGCGGACGCGGCGGGGGCGGGGAGCGCCTGAGCATGCGCAGACGGGGTCCCGAGGGAGCCGGGCGGGCGGGTGCGGACGAAGCAGTAGCCAGGCGATGCTCCGGCGTTCGTTGCTCACTGTCGTCGGTCGCTGTCGCACAAGGCGACTCCTCAAGGAGAGGAGGTACTTCTTCCTCTTTAATATTTTCTTATGAATTTTAGTGCAGACGGAAAGTTGAGAAAACAACGCAATGAACACCTCTTTTACTCAAAACTTAGATCTAGCAGTTGTTAGCATTTTGCCATTTCTGCTCATTCTCTTTGTATGCATATGTGTATTGTTGTTGAACCACTTGAAAGTTGTGTTGTAGAATCATTTAAAAGTGTTGCAGACATAACATTTCATAGCTAATACATCATAACATTTCATAATTAAATACTGTAACATGTATTTCTTCAGGATAAGAACAGTATCCTATAAAACTACAACATTGTCACACCTAAGAATATTTCTATACTAGTAAGCAAAAACCATATTCACTTTAGGAATGGCTTTTGTAACTTTTTTTTTAAAAAAAAAAAAAAAACAAGATCATTTTCTTTTTCGTGACGTTGACTCTTGAGTCCGAGCTGTTGGGTCTTGTGAAACAAATATTCTGTATTTGTCTGGCTTTTTTCTAATAGTGTCAATCAACTTATTCCTCTATTCCTTGTTTCCTGTAAACTGCAGGCTAGATCTAACTGCTAGAGTCTAGTAGAGACTTGATTTGATTCAACTGTTTTGTTTTGGGAGCTTTTTAGCAAAAACACACTATAAATTACATTGTTCACTTCGTATTGCACCATATCACATTTGAATGTGCATGTCAGGTTGTCCCACTATTAATAAAATTAAATCTGATTAGTTGGTTAAAATGGTAGCTGCTAGAATTCATTATAAAGGTACATTTTACCTTTGCAATTAGTAAGTAATCTGTTGGGGGCATACTCTGGCGCTGTAATAGCCTGATTTCTACAGCCTGGACAGGCAGACTTTTGACACTTCCTGAAGTTGTCTAGAAGCAGCCGTGGGGTAGCGAAAATAGTGGCTGAGAATTCAAAGATGTGGATTTGAGACCTTGTGACCTTGGGTAACTTTTCCAAGCCTATTAACTTTATATTGAAGGTGATATTACCTTCCAGAGTGATAAGAATAAATCCTATGAAAGTATTTTGAAAAACCTATAAAGCACCATACAACTATAAGGAATTAATGAGTTTAAATTTTGAAGTCTGTAAGTATAGGATAATGCCTGCATCCAGCATTCTACCAGCACTACTAGTATAATCAACTCATACTACTGCTCAGCATTAAGCATGATACATAGAAGGGAATCAAAAATCGTTTACTGAACGAAACATGTCATAAGGCATTCCAGAGAACTAGGGTCTAATTCCACAATAGAACATTCCGAGGTACTAAAGAGTGTGAGAAGAGTTCTCAGGGAAAACTTTATGCTAGACTCCATACTAAGAGATGGGATGGTCCAGGCTTTCCTATTCTGGGATGTGGTTCCAGCTACCCAGACATGAGCCATTTCCCCTACCGTGTCTTGTTCCCCTTCCCCCTGACACAGAAAGCCAACTGCCCCAAATCTCAGAAGACTGTCCCATTCCTTCAGTCTTTCTCTCAGCCTATACATATGTTTTTCAGTTCCCACTAGTTGGAACTTGGATGTACGGCTGGTGGTGTACTATCTCCAACCATGAAGAAAAAAGCAGTATTCCAGAAAATGATGAGATGAAAGAGCCCTACACCCCTAGTTGTTCACCTGGTTGGAGATTTCCATGAGACAACTTGTTTAAATCACCTTATTTTGTTGTGAATGAACAGACCCAGACGAACATCCTTTGTCATCAGCTATCAGCAAAAATAAAAGGACTTTTGGCAAAATATCTTGGTAAGTGCTTAATCCTGAATTGCTTGGTACCGGACCTGGACCTTGTCATCACCAGGAATCACTCCACCTCTGGCATGTTAATATCAGAGTTTAAATGTCTTAAAACTGACTTTCTAAAACTTGCTTCGTTATTTCGGCGATTTTTTGTTACTTTCACATTCCTTGATTCCTGTGTTTGCATCTCCAGAGAAGCAGATGATAAGACAAGATTAAACATGCAAAAGGTTTTTAGAAAAGAGAGGGGAAGGCATGACATGTTTTAGACAGTGATTGCAGGTCTGATTATGGAAGGAGAAAAAGGAGGAACGTTGGATAGGGAGTTCTAGACCACAGCAAAATTCCAAAAACGGTTTAGCCAGGCCAACAGGGAGTCAGTCCTGGGGCCAAAATTGCCTGTTGGAGTTGTGTCACCAGAAGGGCTTGCCTTAGTACCTCCACCATGCTTAGTCATCGCCTGAGAACAGCCTGCAGTAAGTGTAACCTTAGCATAAACACAGTGGTATATTCAAGGGAAGAAGCTAGAGACGTCAGGCAACTGTGCTCTCTCCACCAGGAGATCTGGGCATACCCCACCGCTTTTAGGAAGCATCCATCCCACCTGAAAGATGTCAAATATCAGACTAATTTCTCACTCCACAAGTAATGGAAATCACTCACGTGCACAGACCTAAAGGCTAATCTGAATACACAACTTTTATTAGTATAATTGTCCATATTCTCTATTGCTCCAGTCACTATAAATTTGGTTTCCATCCTTAGCTAGACACTCTGTATGGTTTAGTGTCTCCTTAACTCCCTTTCTGATTGCCCACAGCAGTTAATAAATTTGTCATTCTCTAGCCCCCTCTTCCATTTTGTCTGAGGTGCCCTGTCTGATATTTCTCAGTGCATATACCACCAGTAAGGCATTAATTCATCTTTTGACTCCTACATATATTTATATTAGAATCCATACTCTGTTTAGGCAAAGAGCAAAATGTGCTTCTTTGATCTTTTGAACCCATTCCCTTTCTGAAAAACCATCAGTTAATGCCTCTGAGCTATATTTAAAGTATTTCTCAGCTGATATTCTTGTAACCTAGTAACATGTTTAAATGTCTTCTTTAAAAAATTAAGAAATACAGGAACCCACCTCAAACGCTGCATTCTCCTTTTTTTTCTTTACACAGCCAAGGTTATCACAAGAGAAACTGCACTCAGCCATCAGGGTTGTGTCCACCACTTGTCTGAAACTGGCCTGACCTCCTAATTGCTACCACTAAGGAATTGTAAATTTTTAGTTAATTTAGTTGATCTCTCCAGAGGCTTTGGACACTATTGACTCCTCTGGGTTTTCACTATGTAACAAGAAGGCTAATCTTAAATCCAAGCTCTTGGAGTACCTTAATGCTACTGTGAGTAACTAACTCCACGCATTAACTTCCATTAATTATTTACATCTTTTAGTGCTTAGATAATTGTAAAATAAAAATTCTAGTTTTTTGAATGCAGAATGAAGAAAACACAGAGGCCTTTGGCTACCTGTATAGGAGGAAGTGGGGGAAGAGAACATTACACTAACTTGAATAGCCACCACTCTTGTCGCCTTCTCTGCTGAGCCCCTTCTTAACTCATTTACTCCTGACAATATCTTAAGAGACAGATATCACTATGAACCATTTGGAAACCAAAGAAGAGTCTATGGTGAAATGGATGTTTTAGAAAGATTAATAGGGCAATAATAAGATGAACTGGAACAGAAAAGAGAGGTACTTAAAAAGCTTCAGGAGGAATTTAAGCTTAAGGCATAGGACTAGGAAAGAAACAGAAAAGAGGGAAACCGAATGACATTATGATTAGGCAGCTTACGTATTGGCAGGATACAAATTGAGAGTTTCCAGCCAGACTGATTTGTAAATGAAAGTTGGGAAGAACTGGTTTGGCTAAGTGTTATTAAGAACATGCCCTACAAAGAGTTACTAATAATATGCCTTAGGTATTATAAAGTGTTATAACAGCAAGAAAATCTAATTGAGGAGATTTAGATATGTCTCAGCTAAAATCCAGTAGCTTCTTTAAAGACTTAAGAAGATATCCTTAATTTCATTTAGGTTCATGTAAAGATCTAACTTCAGTTAAACTTTCTTGATAAAATAAAAATGCAAGGGACTTTTGAATAACACAGATTACATTGACTATACATGAAAGAATTTAAAGTGAGTAAGTTAGGGTCAATTTTATGTTTCATTAGATAGAGACACCCCCCCCCAAAAAAAATCACAAAATCTTATTATTTAAAATATTTTAATTTTTAAAAGGTTTAAACCATATTAAAATTTAAATAATTTCATTACACAGTACTTACAGTTCAACGAACTGAAACAAACCACTTAAATCAGTTTTATTTACTTTCTAAACTTAAAAATATACAAACTCTTTGCCCCCTAGGAGGCTACAAAAATCAATAAAGTATTTAAATTAATACAATGTATTTGATCAAAAGGATTTTTAAAACTAAATTTCATCTGGTAAAACCCTACAATTACCAGCATGTTGACAGTAGATAGGAATTTGAAACAAATCCAATCTGATCAAATCCACAATTAACTGAAGTTTTCCTTTTATTCAGTTGTGAATAAAATAACAGCCACTGTTTTATCCAATGTACTTATGGTATCAACTTCAGAAAAAATGATCTGTCTAGTTTGTACAAAACAAAGACAATAATAGTTACCTTCCATTAAAAGGATGTGAGCTTTTCCAGCCTAGTTTTTTTCCATTTGTGTCATAATTTCCAAATAAAATAAATAGCTCCAGCTCCTGTCTTAGCAGTCCAGTTCTCTATGTGACTGTGTCTTCCATGAAGTCATCATATAGCCACTTACAAGTATAATCTTTGGAACACTCTATAGTTTCAAAAAGGCGTTTAAAATCTCGAGGATACATATTCGTTATTTTTGTTTTTTCCTTTTTTCTTGTTTGCTTCAATATATCCCTTGCATCAACTGGACTCAATGAACTGCAAAAGAAATACAGAGCAAATCTGTTTAATTCTTTTTCATAAGGGCTGTCAGTTAATATTGACAGAGATAGCTTCTAAACCTAATTTAAAATGCCTATTACATATAATTAATCTTATTCAGTTTAAGAGCTTACATAGACTATGTAGCTTTAACTACATTCCTTAAGTTTCATGGCTTACCTGTAATGAAAAGAGGAGATTTAGATTTTAACAAGTTCTAACCTGTGCTCACTTTGGCAGCACCTACACTAAAACTGCAACACATTCTAATCAATTCCTACACAAAATTGTAGTTTAACGTTGCCCTTTAAAACCATTCTTCCACCTACCTCTTTTGTCTTTTAACTCTCTTTGCAAAAATATTCTTAACTCTATTTAGGTTCATGTAAAAGTTCAGTAAGTTCAAACAGCAGAAGCTGCTATCTGGCAGTTTTCAAAGAGGGAATAATCGTGCACATTTTTATGTAACAATTACTGGTGAATAAACTATAAAGCAGAAAACTGCCTTATGTGTTAGCCTCGCAAGAAACCACCAGCAAGCCTCTGACAATAAGTAAACAACTGCATTAAAGTATTTTGGTAGAAAATATTTCCAATACTTTTTGATTTTGAATAGAATCCTAGTCACAGATATAACCATGCTTTCAATTCATAGAGATCTCAAAGGGAATTGTGAACATTTTGTACCAGTTTACCATATTTATTCCTTAATTTCCTATATTATTGGTATTTTCATTCAAAATAGCCATTACCACAAGGTGACAAGATAAAATAGTGGATTACTTTTACTAGTCTATTGTCACTTTTTACATTTACATAAATATTGTCCAACCAACGGCTCATTCAGTTAATACATTTAATGATGATCAAATTAATTAAAATGATTATTTTAACATTCTGCCCATCTTCTGACAATACTTTGAATGACTATGGGCTGCTGATTATAAGGTATAATGCATAACTCAGAAATGTACACATCAGCCCTATATAAAAATTATACTTACATAGATATGAAGGAGGTAATAATTGCTGTAATCTTTTATAAAGCTTTAGATGAAAACAAAAAATTTGGTCCAGGGCAGGAAAACTAGGGTGATATAATGATCCATCCCTATTTTGTTAGGAAATAGAACCAGGAAGGACAGGCAATGACAAGAGGCAGATACTGGGTGTGCCACCACTAATGCTGACTTTTTTACCACGGCTAGTGACAAGCAGCTAGTTCTTCATAAAGGTGATCCTGAGCACATACTCTAACAAAGGTAAAACAACTTGTAGGCATCCCTGGTCATTTTTCCAAAGGAAAAAAAAATTAAGCTCAGGAGATTATGTGGAAAATATAATTATATTTTTCTCAAAATGTGCACCAGGGAGAAGGAAGTATTTTGAATATGAGTGAAAATGTGCTACCTCACTCTGTTAATCAAGATATACAAGATATAAAAAATATTACAAGATATAAAAAATAACATGACAGTATAATTCTCGCATTAAATTGCTACTTTTATACTTGCTTTTATTCTTACTTACTGTAAGTGGTCTATTAGCTTGGCATTGCGCTTCATAAAGCACTGCTTTAACATGTGAAAAAATACATCATAGTTAACAGGTGTTAAGTTTTTTGTAAATAAATTTCTACGAGGAGTCAATCGAATAAAACACAGGTTTTGTTGTATTTGTTCTAATGATTCCTGGAAAGAAGGGAAAATAAATTGTATTAGTCATAAAATATTGCCAGAGCAAAACATTGTTCATTTACTCATTCAAGCTACATGTTAGAAGAGGCAATCAACATAGATCCTGAAGGTCCCTGTATGTTATTGGCTGTGCCAAGAATGCAAGGCTCTAACCCGCTCTTTACCTCAGCCATTTCTCAGAGTTTTTGCTGTGAGCCAGCTTGAGGGTTGAGATAATGTCTCTCTCTGGGACAAAAAAAAAGCAGGCTTGCTTAATGTTTGGTATGAAAGGAGTGGACTCCTTCAGCTGTGTCTGTTCCTCAGCTGCAATGCAGACCCACTGCATGCACACCATCCAGGTAAGCCATACCACATCACTCCATGGGACTTGGCAAATAAAATCCTTGTCTGACCCCAGAGTCCGTGTCTTTGGCCACACCATCCAGGTAAGCCATACCACATCACTCCATGGGACTTGGCAAATAAAATCCTTGTCTGACCCAAGAGTCCGTGTCTTTGGCCACCACCCATTAACTTGTGAGTAAGGCTAAATCAAATCCCAAACACGACACTAACATGTATTGAGTCTCTTCTCTATTTGAGGCATAATGCCAAATCCTAAGAATAATAAAATATTGACTTTTAATTTTCAATTGGACAGTTTTTTAAAATATGGAGTTGGCAAGCTATGGTCCATTGCCTGTTTTCTAGTCTGGAGCTAAGAATGGTTTCACATTTGTAAAGGATTTAAAAAAAAAAAAGAAGCAATAAACAAGGAATACATGATATAGACTATTTGTGGCCTGCAAAGCATAAAACATTTACCATCTAGCCCTGCTCCAGAATATTATTATACAGATTAAAATAAAAACAGTATAACACTCGATGTAAGGTTAAGATTTTTTCCCCCTAAAATTATCCCTCATAAAAAAGGAGAACTGTATGTTTCCTTAGGAAATTTCACATATTAGGTAGTGATCCCTTATTTATTTTATATGTATTTAAATATAAATATTATTTGTGGAAGATATATCAGCCCTCCAAAAAAAATGTAATCAATTCTAGTTTCTAGTTTTGGATGGCTACAGCTTAAGGAAGTGGTAAAAAGGCAAAAAATTCTAAAATATTTAATTATTAATTACAGAGAAGGATAACAGAATTCAAAATGTTACATGCTGTTAACAAGTCTTTTGAAGGTGACTTTAAAAAGCAACCTGGAAAACAGCTTTAGAGTTACAAATATACATTTACCTAACAGGGAAGCTTTTTAAAAAGCTTTCCTGATGGTAAATAGGTGGCTATTTGTAACTTAGGAAAAAAGTTCCAATTATAGCATAAAAACATGGCTTCAAAAAAGCATGAAATCTCAAACACTTGGATGGAAATGATGATGTGCTCTAAAAAACTTAAAAGATCTCAAAGTATTTCTGTAGCAGTTAGGAACATGCTAATATCAAAGTTCTGTGAAGTATCTGAATATGATTTTCTCAAGAAACATGATATTCGATTATTTCACCTTTATCCCTAAAAGTTTATACATTTAAGATGGCCAAAAAAAATTTGTAGCTTTTGATCTTACCATTGAGAAAATGAGAAAGTACCTTATATACAGAGTTGTTCATTTTGGGGACACTTGGGTAAGTTCCTAATGGTATCTGGCCAAAATGTATCCCTCCTATTTTGTGAGGCTATATAAATTATGCTTATTTAGAATGAAAGAGAACTAAAAGCACAATGATCACAATAATGATTGATCACTCTAAAATCAGACCCATTTCTAAACTGATAATTTTAAGAGTAAGGGCAAAAAAGTAAACACGGAAACTTCATGCTGAGCTGATATGATGGAATTCAGGCATCATTAGCATTTAATCCTAAAGCAGAACTCTTGAGTTCAAATATTAGTTTTGAAACTTCACCTACTTTATGACAATTGCACACGTACCCTGATATAAACTAAATAGAGGATCACTTTATACCATCATTACTTTGGATCTTTAGAAAGGTGAAAAAAACAAAAACAAAAGCCCCCACTCCCTGGGTAGGAAACAGATGCACCTACTGGTGAATTCAACCATTATAAGTAGTAATATTGCAAATTTCTGAGTTATTAATAAGGTATAAATTTTTGTTTTTAGTTTGCCACATTAGAATATTTAAATGATTAAATTTTCCAGATTTAATCATTTCATTTTCATTTTCAAAAGAGATAAAAATGGAAGTCCATGTTTAAGCCTATTACTATGCTAGCTTCCACTGTATAAATAGCTGAAAAATACAATTCTCTTCCAAAATAATTTGAATTTATTAAAAGCAATAAGATATGTTTAAAGAACATTTCTAGATATTCTAAATTAAAAATTTTAATAAATAAAGAATACCAGATAATCTTAAAGAGAACAAAAGATGTTCCACTTAGAGGAAAAACAGGGAAAGGTATTTGTCCATTCTTACCCTACACTTTGGCTTTCCCAGTTGCCCGTTTTGGGTGTATATGTCAAATGATGACCAAGGCTCCTTGAGGGAAGATAAACAAAAACATTTCTTTTAGTTCTCTGTGGTCCACGTGTCCCAAATTATTTGCTGCCTTGAAAAATATCCTGCCTAAACAGAATGAACCCAAGTCACCAGTCTAATTGGATTTAAGAAAAACAACATGTGATAGTTAAGACATATACATCTCTCTTTATTTTTTTTGTTTTGATAAAGAAATGGAGACTCAAAGGTCTATCCCAATATTAGTAACTATTATTTAGATAAAAGAAAGTTACTCTAAACACAATTACACAAATAGGTTCCCAAGTTATACTTTTTAACAGCCAACATTTCCATATTAGAGTCAGAGTCAGTTTAGGAGCTATTAGATCACTACTGAGGATACATTTGCCTTATTTTAGTGGAAAAAAACTATTCCTCAAACTCATTTGAATATGTTGGGACATGTAAGGAGATATACAAATAAAGATACTGTGTCGATTTTGAAAAAGATCATTACTTTCTTTGTATCTAATTTTTGTGCACACAATTTTGTTTGTGAAGCAAATTTAAAAGATGACCCAACCAAAAAAATTATCAAAAAATATATATACACACAGGTTAAATTCCAAAATAAGAGTGGGTTAAAACAGCATCTGACAGACTTAAAAGACAAAAACCTACGATATTGAACATAGGTTTGAATGGTCGAAAATGGTAATTTATTACTAACTACAGTGGCAACTGAAGTGGCATAAAAAATACAATTGTTGCCCATCCATGAAATTCCTAGCAGTTCCAAGAATGTCAGTAAGTGGCGGAAGGCCGGGCAGCAGCAGCGTGCAGTGGGCATTGCAGTTCCCCCGACTCGGGTCTATTCACAGCAGCTGGGGCACAGCAGTAGGTGCCCAGGAGACCTCATCCCTATCTACCAAAGCAACAGGAGAATAAATCCTGTAAGACCCTGGGAACTGAGTTGCACAGCTGACCCTCCAGCTGTAGATATATAATGGACAAATGTTAAAAAAGTTGGGTTCACAAAGACCTTTCTGGCAGTTAATAAAAGACAAAAATCAACATGGGGCCTTTGAAGACAAATACGCAGAACAAGAAAACAATGGAACTTGAAGTCCTCAGGGGACCTCGATGAAGAAACTAGCTGGAAGCCACAAGGACAGAGGAGGCTGAGATGAAGAGCCCACAGAATGAGGGGAAATCAGTGTACTAAGAAAGGATTTTAGGGAAACCAAGAACTACATACCAAGATGACAACATGTAGTGCAGGCAGAAAGCAGGGTCAGTGCTGGGAAGACTAAGTGAAAAGATTTCTGGGAATACAGGAAAATGATGAGAGTATGACAGATACAAAAGACAAGCAACAGAGATCCAACCTAAGAACCACATATGTTTTGGAGCGGAAAAAAAGCATAATTGGAACCAAAGCTAAAATCAAATGAGACTATTCTAACAAGTAAACACATTAAAGGGCTTCATGTGTTCCTGGACAAAAGCAATGAAGACACATTGCAAAATTTAAAAATTAAACCGATATATCCTTCAAAGAACAAGGCTCATAAAATATACAAACACATCCTATAAAAACTTGATATATACTCTACTAAAATAAAAAAGAATATGCAAATGGCAAAAAAGAAATAGTATTTATCATTTTTTTACTCTAGCCCTCTGCTATATATAATATGTGGCAGTCACCAGTCACAAGTGGCTATTAAACACTTGAAATGTGTTTGAGAGGTGTTGCAAAATATACAGTGGATTTCAAAGCCCTCGTACACAAAAAGAATGTAAACTATGTAATAACTAATTTAAAAGATTGATTATATACTGAAACATTTTGAATTGAGATGGTTTAACAAAATATAACATTAAAATTAATTCCATCTGTTTCTTTTTTACTTTTGATAATGTGGTTACTAAAAAATGTAAATTTGCATATGTGTCTTACACTGTAATTCTATAACTCTGATCTTGCCTAAGGAAACTAAAATGGGAAATGCTCTAGAATGAAATATTAAGTAGCCATTAAAAATTTAAGAAAAAATATTCAGTGACAAGGGAAGAAACTTATAGTTAACTTTTAGCTATTAAGTTAAAAAAATAAGATATAAAATAATATAATCTTCACTATATAAAGAAAAAAATAGCATAGGAAAAATAAAAGACAAAATATGTCACAAATGTCAGTAGTAACCGCTGGGTGGTAGAACTGTAGTGGTGATTGTTTAATTCTTTTCTTTCATTAACATCTTACATTTTTACAATGATCAATATATTATTTTTATAATCAGAGGAAAACATAAATATTCATGATAAAAACAGCAGCACAAAGTTACCTCACTCTCTTGTCTTCAGTAGTTGGGAAAAATAATAAAATTAATCTTGAATTTTTTTCTCCATTTACTGGTCACAGAAATGTAGCCTCTCTGAAAACAACCAAGTTCTCTGCTGAAATTTAGAACAGTTTTACTCACCCTATGCAGAAGTTTAATCTCACAAGCTACTTGCCAGAGCACGCTGAGTGCCTGGTACAGGTGTGGATTCTGCGGATTTGCCATTAGCTTCTAGTAAGAGGGAAACAGAAAGTACACGTTATACCAAGTATAATCAATCAAAACCAAATGTTGGATCTTAATAGTAACAACGATGTGTAGCAATTAAAGAAAATTAGAATTAAATGCAAAATCTTAACTGCAACCGTTTCAAAGAAGAGAAAGGCCTTTTAAACTTTAATACTGAAATAAATATATTATTCTGTACACTTTAAAAAGAACATATTTGAGACTTAGTTCCTTTAACCATATCTAATCCATCGGGGTAAAAACCTCATTAAAGAAAAAAATGAAACAAAAATGTATAATTACCACGGAGGACAGGTGTATTAGAATATGTACCAAGTGAGCTATTAAATTTTGAGTCAAGAATTGTTCAGCTGAGACTTGAAAGAAAAGAGGTTACCTCAGGGAATGAGAAGGCACTACAGAGAGGAAACCACACGTGAAAAGACTCACAGTGAAAGAAGCATTAGAACGTTTTCCGAGCAGCAAGATGAAACCTGATAAAGTGAAAGTTTCCTATTGCTCTTCCTTTCATTCTTTCACATATTTACTGTATGTACAGTCTCAAGGTTCTGAGCCCCCTACTGTCCTTCCACAGATAGTCACTATTTACCTACTATCCAGGTCTTGGTGAGCAAATCATCCCCTCTCTTCTTGCCCCGCTACCTAACCCATAGCTCCATTTTATACAAATACGCGTCTCCTGTTATATTGGACTGAAAGATTAATAACATGAGGCATTCTGGGCAGAAAAGAAACATGACTCTCAAGGCAATATAAATGATTTCATGAGGCCCTTTCATATCGGTGAATCAAAAGTAAAGTCTGAAACTCTAAAGATTCCACAAAAAAACTGTTAGCATAAAGGAATTCAGCAAAGTTGGAGGACACAAATCAACACAAAAGTCAGTTGTATTTCCATACACTAACAATGAACAATCTGAAAAGGAAATTAAGAAAACAATTCCATTTACAAAAGCATCAAATAGTAAGGAATCAACCAAGGAAGTGAAAGATTTGTACACTGAAAACTAAGAACACTGCTGAAAGAAATTAAAGAAGACACAAATAAATAAAAACACATCCTGTGTTCATCATTTGGAAGATTTAATATTGTTAAGATGTCAATACAACCCAAGTGATCGACAAATTCAATGCAATCCCTATGAAAATCTCAAAGAACTTTTTTTTGCAGAAATAGAAAAATTCACCCTAAAATTCATATGGAATCTCAGCAGACACCAAACAGCCTAACCAACCTTTAGAAAGAACAAAATTGGAGGACTCACAATTCCTGATTTCAAAATTTACTACGAAGTTACAGTAATCAAAATAGTGTGGTACAGGCATAAAGATAAACACATAGAACAATGGAATAAAACAGAATCCAGAAATGGACCCTCATGAATTTGGTCAAGTGATTTTTCAACAAGGGCACCAATGGGGAAAGGACAGTCTTTCAACAAAGGTGCTGGGAAAAGTGCATATCCACATGCAAAAGAATGAAGTTGGACCCTTACCTAATATCATATAAAAAAAAGTAATTCAAAATGGATCAAAGACCTAAACATAAGAGCTAAAACTATAAAACTCAGAATAAAATGGAAAAAATCTTCATTACATTGGATTTGGCAATGATTTCTGATATATGACACCAAGGCAGAGCAACAAAAAGAAAAAAAAAGACAAATTAGACGTTGTCAAAATTTAAAACTTTCGGAATCAAAGGATACCATTAACAATCTGAAAAGGCAACCCATAAAAGGGGAGAAAAATATCTGCAAATTGCATACCTAAGAAGGGATTAATATTGAGAACATATAAGAATTCCTAAAACTCAACAACAAAAAAAAACCAGACAACTCAATTAACTACTCCAAAGAAGATATACAAATAAAAAGATGCTCGACATCATTAATCTTTAGGAAAATCAAATTCAAAACCACAATGAGATACCACTTTACACCATTAGGATGGGTATTTTCGAAGAAACATAAAACTATAGGTGTTGGAGAAAATGTGGAGAAACTGGAACTCCTGTGCCCTGCTGGTGGGACTATAAAATGGTGCAGCCACTGTGAAAACCAGTAAGATGGTTCCTCAAAAAATTAAAAATAGAATTACCATATGATCCAGCAATTCCACTTCTGGGTATATACCCAGAAGAAATTGAAAACAAGGACTCAAAGAGATATTTGCACACCAATGTTCACAGCAGCATTATTCACAATAACCAAAAGGAGGAAGCAACCCAAATATCCACTGATGAATGAATGGATAAATAAAAGGTGGTGGATATACACCATGGAATATTATTCAGTCTTAAAAAGGAATGAAATGCTGACACATGCTACAACTTGGATGAACCCTAAAGACATTATGCTAAGTGAAATAGGCCAGACACAAAGAGAAATATTATATGATTCCACTTATATGAGATACTTAGAATAGAATAGTCAAGTTCATAGAGATAGAAAGTAGAACAATAGTTACCAGGGGCTCATGGGGGGAGAAAATAGGGAGTTAGTGTCTAATGGGTACAGAGTTTCAGTATGAATGATGAACAAGTTCTGAGAAGAGGCAGATGGTGGTAACAGTTGTACCACAATGTAAATGTACTAATGCCACTGAACTGTACACTGAAGAATAGTTAAAATGGTAAATTATGTATAATTTACCACAATTAAAAAAATGTAAAAACTTGAATCTAAAGATTGCTCTACAGAAATATAAAAACAATCTTAGTACTCTCAAAAGTCATGAGCCCAAATTAAGACTACTCAAAGAAAACCTGCAGAACTCTTTCAAAGCCAAAAATAAATCAAGTACTTGTTAATAACTCACCTGGCATTCCTTTTCATTAATAAACAAATTTAGCTCTACTCGTCCATATCTATATATGGAAGTACAGGAATATATGTCATGTAAAAGTTTCCAAAGCGTCTTTCTCTCGTTTTTAGTTGGGAAGATTCCAACTACTTTTAAAGGGATACCTGTTAAGAATACAAGCAAATATATTTGAATAAATTCTTAACACTTTTCCCATGACCACATTTTATTGAGTCAAACTAAGTTAACAAACTATATTAATATTAATTTTCTTTCAATTAAAAGTAATCCTCAGTACGTTTCCTTGATATGGAACTTGGTTTCGGCACAACTGCTCTGATTATTTGTGTCTAGGTGAAAGGAGAACAATATTCAACTTAAGAGCATCATCCCGTAAATTTATAACATAAGCTGTACACGAATCTGTTCAACAAACTAGGTACACTACTAGAGAAAGCAGGCAAATTATAAGGTATTTGCTTTAGTGAGTGACAAAAATTACCTTTTGACCAAGGAAGTGCTTCTATTCCCAAATTCTGAAAAAGCAACTCTGAAGTCACAGTAGGAGGTTTTACTGTTCCATAATTTCTAGGATCCAGTTTAAAAAAGTCACAGTGGACTATATCTAGTTTTCCACCCAGATTTCTTCCTAGGGACTGAGAGACAGAGATAACACATTAAGAAATTTCTGTGTTATGCAGACTTTGTAACAATTTAAAGATCTACTTCAAAAAAATTCTTATAAAAACATTAGTACCTAAACAAAGTTGTAAAGAAACCATTACTAATAGACTCTAAAGTTTAATCGTTAATACAAATCAATTAATGCCTGAAAAATAATGAAAGTACAACAATCTTATCAAGAAAAAGCCCCAAAACAAAAAGCCTTCAACAAATTTTTACTTATCCCTTTACTTTCTTTATGTCAATGGCATCATCAGTTGTTCGAAAAGCTTCTTCACACTAATCTCTAATTCTTTAGTAGTGGCTGCCTGGAGCACTGGGCACAGATTCTGAGACCACAGCTGGGTTCAGGTAGGGAGCTGTGATCCATCTGCTAGTTACAGAAAGATGTTTCACAGTCGAGAAAAACAAAAAAAAAATATTAAAGCGAAAGGTAGATGATTCAAGAGAGTATTCCTTTTTTTCTGGAAGAGTTTCATTAGTCCTTCACCAAATGAACTTAACTCATTGTGTAAGTCACTCTCCACTTTCCCTTTAATTTCTCATTTACTTTTTCTCAAGACAGGCAATTCTAGAAGGAAAGCTCCTGGTCTGCGGCAAGAGGTCCAAGATACCTCAATCTTTTTAAAGCCTTGATTTGCTCATCTAGCAGTAGCGCTAGAGAACTTAGTACTGAGAGGATTAGCTACAGACTCTGTACACTTAATTTGAAATTACAAGAAATCATTTAGAAGGCAATATGCTTTCATGTGCATATTTAGGTTTTCATACAGAGAATTCTACGAGTATTTATCAAGGTTTCAACAAATTTGCAATTCAATGTTATGAATTAAAAAAAACTTTTTTCTTAAGCATTTGAGTTCAACCAATAAATATTACTAAATTTATAAATCTAATAAATTTCAGTGATCACTTTCAAAGAGACCCTGGAAAGACTAATAGAAGGAACAGATTGGGGGTGGAAATCACCAATTTTTGGTTGTGTTAATTTTGAGATACTGATTAGGTGATCCAAGGGAAGATGCCAGGTAGGAAGCTGTAGAGCTGGTCGGTGGAGTGGTCCAGGCTGAAGATATAAATTTATAAGGATTTGGCTTGTCAAAGATAATTAATTAAAGCCAGGGAGATGAGATCTCTAGGGACAAGTACACAGGACTATGGCAAAGTATGGAGTAACTTCAGAGTCTCGTGACAAGGAGCTGAGACTAAGACAGAAAGTAAAGAAGAAAACCAAAAGAGTGTGGTATTATGAACCCTAAAGAAAAAAGCACTCATATAATGCGTACCTTAAAAACTGGTTAAATTATTCTATATGTATAGCAATAAAATAATCCCACAATTTGTCATATTTTAATCTAATTAAGGAAAGCTAATGAATTTTGGCTTGATGGGAATGTAAAAAGAATGTATACTTTATGACTTTGTTATACTTGCACCCCAAAAGGGCACATACATTTTTGTTTTAGCGCCTGTCACTAACCATTCAATTCAAACATGGTAACAGTCAAAACTCCAGAATAAATCATTTGACTCATAATAGTGAAATCACATTTTAAAACTTGACTGTATTTTGGATTCAAAAACAGAAAGAAAAAAGGACAGAGGAAAGAGAAGTAACCCTTGAGTTTCCACTAATCATTATATTAGGCACTTTAGTTTATCTTATGTAAATTACATCAAGATAAACAAAAGCTAGTATCTCTTCAAATGAACATATACAGCTAAGTATTTCTGCAACAATAGTTTCCATGATTCAAATAGGATATACCATGATTTGTCATTAGAGAACACAATTTGTAACAAGTGTATCTCTAGTACATCCAGTTAGGAAAACAAACAGTTCCTGCTTGAAACATTGTTAATGTGGAGCCCCAGGAATTTTATCTGGTCAATGGAGAGGGGAAGCAGGAGGAGGGATTTTAAAGTTAGATAAAAATCGGGAGTCAAGCATCATCTCTGAAAATCCTTTCAGTTTTTAGGATTAAACTTGAGAACCTTTGAGAGGCTAGAAGCATTGTCTGCTTAAGAGCACCACTTTAAGGCCTTGATTTAAGATCACAAAGGTTCTAGTTAAATGGTTTCTTCCTTTTATCTTGGCAAACACATGAATTCACACAAAGCTTTATTTGAATTGCTTTTCACTTCATCCCTACAATGGTTAATAAGTGAAAGAACATGTACTAAGGGCTGAGCTCAAGTTAGAGCTGAAAGGAGGAGGAACTGGTGAATTACAAAAAATAAAAATAAAAACCATAACTAGAACGAAAACTAGTTCGAATCAGACAGGCTTTAGTCGATGATGTTCAAATTTTGTGCTTACATTTATAGCTTCAGAAACATTTTATAACTGATATTTCTGTAAGATATATTATGTCAAGAATTTTCTAGCCCCTACCTCTCCTTTTTTCATTAAATCAATTGTTTTTAAACTGTTATCTTGATCTTATAGAAAAGCAACTATTGTGTTACAGGATAACAAACTGTAAACGAAGACATTTTAATGCCATCTAAATATGTGAACATAGAGATTCATTTTCAAAAGTAGGCCTTTTAAAAAAAAATATCAAGATTAAACCTATCTTGTTTTTAATTTCCAAGTTGAAATTACAGATGGCTATGTTTACTAAATCACATTTCATGATCTTGAATATGTGAATAACTTGTGTTCTTTTTCTCTTCATGATTCTGGAATTCCAACAGATTTTGCATCAATTAAATAACCTTGCTAGAACCTTGAATTCTTTTCAAAGCAGTCAATTGTAGAATAATGCACATAGTTTTATTAATAAACAAATAAGCAAACAGCTATATTTGGTAGACATTCCCATGATTATTTATTGACATCCTGCAGTTTTAGAGAACAATATTTTACGTGAATTCAGGAAGTTGACATAGGGAGATATGAGTCCTAAACTGAATCTAGAGATTTATAAAGGAGAGAGGAAGAGAAAGAGGAAGAAAAAGAGGTTGGCAATGATGTAAGAAAGTTCCAGTTTACTGTTATGTGATCTTGTCTGCTATATCAGAAGCAGAATTCACTGAAAAAATCCATTTGGACAATGCTTTCACTTCCTGCAATTGTATCTGATCATACCAAACCTTTCATGCCCCTGAAACACTAAATCCAAAGTTAATATAGTCCCATTAACCTGATCTTACTATTTCACTTAGATTGTAAGCTCACAGAAAGCAAGGGCACAGCACAGCCTACTAGAGACAAGGAAATAAACCTAGAGATACCAGTTATACGCTTTGCTCAAAGACACTCAAATAGTCTGTAGCAGAGATAGAAGCAGAAAACAAGTCTCAAAACTCCAATCTTTTAGTCATTCAACAAGCATTGATACTTACTATGTTCTATTCATAGAGGCTGAAAATCTAAGGCATGGGCCCTAAAAGTGATCTGACAAAAATAGCGTGCTTAATTTTACTTCCCTAAACCACTGCAAAGGGAACTGACTGATGAGTTATTTTTATAAACTAAAAATATACCTCCAAATGTGGAATAAAAGTTCTGTCACTTTCAAGGGCAATCACTCTGGCACCTCTTTCAAGTAATGCTTGAGTCAGGATTCCAGGACCTAGTATATTAACACAAAGAAAAGGCTATTTACAAAAGAAACAACATAATTTGTCAGTATCAAAAAAAAAATCAGATGTTTTACATGTATTATTTAATTTTAATTCTTACATCCCCAAAGTAGATTTACATTCCTTGTTTACATATAAGGAACCGGGATTAGATACAGTCACTTGACTCTAACTTCGCAAATGGTTACGTGGTACTGCTTGGCATTGAACCCATTCTTCCAAAGACTGCAAAACCTGCACTCTTAACCACAACGCTTCACCTCCTCTCAAGGAAAAAAAAAAGGTTGCCTCTAGCTTACTCACAGTGTATCCAGATATTATCATCATCAAAGATACTGTCTAACCCAGGGGTCCCCAACCCCCAGGCTCCGTCCCTGGCCTGTTAAGAACCTGGCTGCACAGTTTGCAGCGGCTCCCTAGCGCTAGCATCACCGCCTGGGCACAACCTCAGACCGTCAGGCAATACATTCTCATAGGAGCGCAGGTCCCTGGTGCCAAAAAGTTGGGGACTCCTACATAGAACTGACTCCTCACGATAGGAAATGATGTTGTAAAAAGTTATTTTTCAAAAATCTATAAATCTTGTGTTCTCAGCATCCTGCTAATGGTTTACTGGAGATGCACGGAAGGGTAAAAGTTCTTGGGGGGTCGGGGGGAGGGACAGGTTGCAACTATCTTGGGGAATCTAAGAGCATGTTCTATTTGGGGACTTCTAAATAGAACTGACTCCTCACGATAGGAAATGATGTTGTAAAAAGTTATTTTTCAAAAATCTATAAATCTTGTGTTCTCAGCATCCTGCTAATGGTTTACTGGAGATGCACGGAAGGGTAAAAGTTCTTGGGGGGTCGGGGGGAGGGACAGGTTGCAACTATCTTGGGGAATCTAAGAGCATGTTCTATCAAAATATTGTGTAAAGTGCAAACTGCTACAGAAATAGTCTATTGTGTCATGATTAGTATAAACCATAAAAGCTGCTTAAAGGAAGGGGCCGTGTCTTACACGGCAACGCAAGGTAGTCAATAAAAATTTGCAGAAGCGATGAACATCCAAAAAAATGCAATCCACGATGGACTCACCTGGATTGCACTCCAGGAATAGCTGACAAGCTTCGTGTTCTTCCCGAAGGATCTGCCCCACAGTCTCAGCCAGTCTCGGACTGGTTATGTAACGCCTGGATTCTAAGCGGCACTTAGACACCCACGAGGGCGATTCTCCGAAACCCTGACTTGGCAACAGCTGCGGCTGGAAGTCAGAATAACCACGGCCTTTCCCCGCCAGGGCGTCCCTCCACCTCGCCGCTCCGCACCTCAAAACGCAAAAACGACCAGCACCGGAAAAGGCTGACCACGTCAGCCGCGGTGGAAGCACCGCCACTGGGACCCACATCTTCACCCTCTAGGGTCTGTCCCAATGTCACCCACGGTCATTACATCGTCAGCGAACTCCACACAGGGAATCCCACGTGCAACAGAGACCCACCACCGGCTAGGCCGGGCGGAAGTAAACGCTACAAACTGCGCATGCGAACATCCCCTCGCTTGCCCCTCACTTCCGGCCGGGTGCTGTCGCGGGAGGACTGTGAGTGGACTGACGAGGAGACGGACCATCCAGGCTGTGTACTCTATGGTTGTCCGCCCTCTGCGCTTCCTCTCTAGCCGCTCGCGCTCTATGCTCCGCGGTCGCGGGCTGCCCGGCCGGGAGGGGTGCGCAGAGGGAGGCGGGGCGGGAAGGCAGAGGTGTCTCCTCCACCAGAGCGGCGGGAGACCTGAGCAAGAACCTCTGTGACAGCTCGTCGGCCGCCATGTCATCGAGTGGGGCTGGAAACAGCCCCGGCGCCCAGCGGTAGCTCTCCTTCGACTCCAGTTGCCAGGTGAGAAGAGGGAGAGCCGGATGCAAGGGACCGGCCGGCTCGCGGCTGGGGTGCAAAATCTCTTGGAACCCCTCGCTCCACCCCCTGCGCTGTCCTCCGGCTGCGCCGCCTCCGCTCTCTGGGTGAGGTGTATCCCGGTTCCCCCACCTCCGCCCGCTCTCCGCTCTCCTGTTTTCCTCTCTGTTCTCTAGCCTCTGTGGTCTGTTCCTGCGCATCGCGCCAATTTCTCCCTCTAGGGCACCGGCACCAGAAGTCGGTCCTCTCCCGGCTCCCCCAGGAGCCTGCGGCTTCCACTGTGCCTCAATTCTGTCCTGCTGCCCACAGCCCCGGCTCTCCACCCTGGTGGATGATGGCTATTTTCCTTCGTACCTGTTTTCCCCCCCACACACTTTGGCTGTCAAGAACCTCCTGGTGTCTCCCCTCCATTCTTCTCTCTGGGCCAACATTTTCTTAATTTTTAATGTTTAAAAGATTTAAAGTTACGATTTAAAAAATTAAGATTAATTTTAAAAGCTTAAAATTCCTCTCTGAGCTTACAAAAGATTGAGAAGTTAGGAAGTTTATTCTGTTCCCTGTATAAACTTAGGCAAACACATTGGACTGTGGAATGCAATTTAAAAGACCAGCTCCAAGGACTAAAAATAGGATGCTCTAATGGAAATTTTGGCAGTCTTTTTGCCTACTGGGCAGTGTTAGAAGACTCGATTCTTTGCGAGTGATTTCAGTTGTTTAAGGAATATACTCAGAGCTTTACCCGTTGCCCTTTCCACCAAGGCAGGAAACTGCAGCCACTCTGCTCCCTATTTAAAAATATGTACAATCCTTTCTGCTTACTCTGTTGGCTGTGCAATTGAGCTAGGCATTTAAATGCACAAGGAAAAGGCATCTAAGGAATGTATCGTGTAGCAAATAGCAATCTGAAGGTTATACTCAGCTGGTAAATCTCAAATGGATAAAGAATTGACAGTCAAATATGGCCTCTTTTGGACTATAAATTTTTTAAGACACTATGGAAAGTATCTGATCAACTGTTGTAGAAGCCCTGAGGACACGTTGATCTAAATTTCCTTAATTTTTCTAATACAGTATTGACAGTTTTCTATAAGTGACTTTTGCGTCCTCTGAACACCTGAAAAAGCTTACCGTCCCCATCCTTTACTAAGCTGCCACCCCTTTCCCCTTAAAAAAAATGTTTTTCATAGGTTTGGAAATACACGGATTTGTCTTTCCCAAGAGCCCTGGAGGCCTAAATATTTTTAAATCAAATAAAGCAGAATGATGTGTTATGGTAGAGGACGAGACGGTTCACTCATAGAATGTATTGTTGAGTTTCTCTGTTTTAAAATATACTTTACAAAATTGTGGTTAAAAAAACACTTACTTTAAAATATGCTTTTCTGGTTCATAGTTTTGTGGACCAAAGGTAGCCTACTCAGCCTTAGAGAAACTGAGGTAGTTTGTTGTTTTGCCTTTGAGTGGTATTATTTTCTTTTGGTTTTGGAAAAAAGAATTACATTATGATAATTATTTCCCTTTTCATAGTGTTAATGGCTTATTTGTGGTTGAAGGTGCTTGAATAATAGAGACAAAATCTTATAAGTTTTGTTTCTGAGACCCCAGCTGCTGGAAATGAACGAAATGTCCTTTTCACTTTAAAAATGAACCTAATAATCAGCTTTTAGACCTCCTTTGTTAGAAAACCTTGGTTTGTGTACTTCAGTCTTTCTTAAGAGGTGTGGTTCTTACATCCTGTGCTATTTTTTTGTCTTTTCAAGGTAATCTTTCTTTAAAATGGTGTCAGGGCACAGTGATTCTGATTATTTTTACATTCTTCTTAAGTTATTTTTATTCCTATCTTAATGGGTAGAGAAGGGAAAATGACCACTTATTCTTTTGGCTTTTAAACTGCAATTGTAACTGGGAAATGTCAAGTGATAGTTCTTGTTTGCAGTGAGAATTAAGGCTGTAGGGCTATAGAGATGCTGTCTAATGGAAAGATAATGCAAGCCACAAAAGTAATGCAAAGTTTCCTAGTCACGTTAACAAAGTAAAAAAAGAAACAGGCGAAACTAATTTTCACTAATATCCTTACCCTGAGAGTCTGGGGTAAATTCTATGGGGCAAACTAATTTTTTTTTTTCCTCCCTAAAATGCTGCCATAGTCAAATTGAGAAGTTTCTGGGTTGAGTGTGTCAACATTGAGGAGGATGAACAGATGCACAGTGCACGTTTACTGAGGGTCATAAGATGATAGAGTGCTCAGTCATTTCCTGGGGTGTCATTGTTACAATTATTTACATCCTCCCGTCAACAGTCTGTCAAGGCACTGTATGAGTCTTTGGCTACCATATCTGTTGGTGCTAAATAGGAGAATTTGACGACCAACAGGAAGATGGAACCTCATCGTGAACAGGTCGTACCTGCTTGTTGTAGCTTTACTTTCTGAATCAGTTTCAGGTATGGCTAAGAGTTTCGTAAATGTGCTTCTCTGTATGATGGTGTTTCTTATCAAAGGAAAGATAAAATCTTTTTTTAATGCAAAATTTAGAAAGGGAGAGGGTATGATTTTTGGCTTTAAAAACTGGGAGCCTGAATAGTAGCAGAAGAGTAACACGTGTTAGGTGGTTTAGGTAAATTTAAAAGGAAATATGGCAGTTTTTATAGAAAGCTACTGACGTATTGTTAGTATATGTGCTTTAAGCTGTTTTTACAAGAAAGGTGATGATTTTCATGGAAACTTCTCTTGTTCAGAGCTGTTATAAGTGAAAGATAATCCTATTGGAAAGGTAACCCTACAGGTAACTGACCTCAATAGAACCATTGTTCTTATCTTGACATCTTTATTCTAATAAACTTTCCTAAATGTTGCTTTAGCTACACTGTTTTACAGCTACACTTAATGTCAGAATTCATGGTAAGGCCTAATTAGTATTCAGTGTAATTTAATACAAGAAACATGCCCCCTCCCCAACCTTTATGGTATAAAGAAATCTTAAATTCCCTGGTAAAATCTAGTCATAGACCTGGCACAGTGTTGGCAGTGAATAGAGTATTAGAGGATCAAAGAATTAGGGAAGGGGGTAGTTACTGGATGTTGCTTGTCCCCATAGGGATACATGTATGTTATGTAGGAAAATATAGTGTTTTTATTTGTATTTAAATCCAAATGGCTATTCATTGACACCATGCTCATTGGATAAAGAAAGAGAATGCATTTTTTTGTGCCTACAGATTAGTCTTAGCAATTTTTTTTTTTTTTTTTTTACTTATTTCAGGAAGAATAGTTGATAGTTTGGCAATTTTCAGTTTTTAAAAAGAGCTCTAATTCGATTTAAGTGGCTTCTACAAGGATCTTTTTCTTGATAAATTGTACATTTAATACATTTATATTAAATTGTACATTTAATACATTTACATTCTCTCCAATTTATGGCCTTTAAGATTCACATGAATTCAGGCTTTTCTTTATTTAGGAATCATTCCCTTGGGGGGAATTATATTTCCTTTTAACCAAGGAATACTTTTGTTTTTCATGCATTTGAAATAATTCATTTGTAATATTCTTTTAGAAATATGTCATTAGTCAATTATACTGCAATAAAAAATAAAGATAAACACCATGTCTGACCAATCCAAAAAAGAAAGAAAGAAATACATCATTAAAAAATTCTGAATCTTATAATAGCTTGAGGTTTTTAAAATTGTTTTGTCACAGTTTTGAGATTCTCCTCTTTAACGTATTCGTAGATGGAAACTTTTTGCCATCAAGCCACTCCCCCCTGCCATCCCTTAGGACTTCTTGTTTTTCATCATCATTAGCCACGTAGAATGGAAACACAGTGTGTGTCTGTCAAAATACTGACAAATCATGGTTATTTTTCCTTTTTAATTGCAGGAAGAATTATGAAGCAGTAAGTGACAAATTTGACATTTGGGCATTGGACATTTTATTTGACAGTACCTAGGAGATTTTAGGAATTAACAATATTTTGTAATTGTCATATGTATTAAGTTCTCTTATGAGGATAGTTAGACTATTTTTCCTGAGAAACTGCTACTTGATTAAATAATTATTTTTTTCTGTTAGCTGCATTTTGAAAACCCAGTGAATTAGGTGGCTGTGGTTTTCTAATTTGAAGGCAAACTAACATTTTAAAAGGTTTTATACTATAGGTTTTGAAATAATTTCTTTAAAATATGTGAGCTTTATGGTAAGATAAAGAAGGCTGTTGTTCCTGGGTATTTGAGAGCATACCACGTATATTTTGATTTTATGCATGCGTTGTTTTTCTTCACTATTTTCTCTTCTGTAGGTATTACTACTTTACAGTGAAATCTTAAAAGGAATTTAGGTGAACTGAAACACATTGCTTAAGATTTTTCAATGAAAACTTATATTCGTGAAGATATATTTAATTTATTGAAGTCTAGCAGAATTATCTTTACTTTATGAAGCACCAAAGAGTACCTTTTGGGGGTTTTGTTTTGTTTTGTTTTTTTCATTTTTGGAGAATGAAAAAGTTTTATTTAAATCAGATTGTAAAAGGAGTCATACCAAGTAAATGACCTGATTTCCTCCCTCAAGTTCAGCTCAGATGAAAAGAGCACTGGAAGTTTGTAGAAACTATGCTGATTCGAAAATTATAAAATTTAGTCTCCTGGAAAAGACTTTATTTATACCAATTTGTGACTTCTTAATTCAAATTCAGTCATCAGGCTTTATTTTCTTTAACAATTTACAAAATAATCACTAGGTTCCTTTTGTGTGTTTGTTTGTTTGTTTGTTTGTTTTTGCTGTGGAGTTCTTTGTCATGACAATTAGTTAAACCTCCAGCGTTGGGTAAGCCTTGTAAAGAGCCAGAATTAGAAGTAGTGTTATGACTTCCTTATTTTAATCATTTGTTAAATGTTTACCAAATGATTGGTGACTGAGGAAAGAAAAGATTGTTTGTCTTATTAGTCTTACTTTTGAACTTTAGTTTTAAAATGGATCTATAGGT